ATAGTTCCATCCAGTAATCTGGTGGGAGTCACAAGACCATAGCTAGAAGAGCCATACCTAAAAATTCACTGTACTGCACCCCTCTACTCCCACCAGCTGCCTCTTCTGCACCTAGGTGGAATCTAATCTGAAAACCTCAGTCTTAGATATCTTCTGAGGAGCCGTGTAGTGAGGGGCTCAGGATCACATTTAAGGAGATTCCACAGAGCCGAAGAGCTCCAATAGTTGACATGCAGGTGTAATGCAGTCAGCACTTTTGGTCCAGATTCCTCAAAGTTTCACAGAGTATGCCAAGCCCTTTGGAATGCAGCAATGAAAAGCTGATGGCAGTGAGCTTAAGAGTGATCTCCTTTAGGAAAAAAAAAAAAAGGTGGGGACCAGGTTTGCTGGTCCGATAGAGCCTGGTGTAACCACTGAGACTATGGCCCCTAACTGCCCTTCAGATCTGGAATTGAACCCACACCTGTGGTTTCCAGCCAAACAAAATACAGGCATATGAGTTGTACATTTACCTCAAGTAGATACACTCTTTGGAGAGAACAATCATGGGAGAAAGAAGGGCTGCTTATGCACAGGGAGATAGCTCGGGGGGCAGGAATGTATGGAGGGATGGACACTGGGAAGAGGTAACTATGGGGAGGAAGTGGGAGGGGAGCTGTTGCGTTGTGGTAAATTGTGGTCAATGACATGAGACAAAGTGTATGTGAACTGCTGTATGGAAAGTGAATTTGCTCTGTAAATCTTCAGCCAAATCACAATAAAAAAAAAAAGAGTGATCTCCTTTAGTTGGTGACAGGAAAGAGAGACAAGATAAACTTCAAAATAGGAAAATGTAAGAGAACAAGCATTTCAGATGATGACAATAAAACAGTTCTGAACTGTCAGTCAAGACCCAGGAAAAGTCAGGATGGTGTGTTCCTCAGAGAAATCACATGTGCTGTCATAGCCAAAAAGGGTGTAGGGTACTGTTCTCCCAGAAAATAAATCAGGAAATATGGAAGGGCAGAGTTGGCCCTATACAATGTTACCAAAACCAGAGTTCTTCAGTACTTCAGTCTCTATTACATTTCCTCCTTACTTAGTAAATAACCTTTTTTCTGTATTCTCTCTCTCTGCTCCTCTACTAACAAGGCACCGAATAATTTCTTGCTCTCCCTAACCAACCTCATTCCAGACTTGCTCAAAGACATAAAAGGCTCATTCAGAGTAGGGAAATGATTGATGAGCCTAAAAGTGGTTCATTTCCCAAGAGGCACTTGTCTTTTGTCAGCAGATGTAGTGGAAACACCTAAACATTTTGCTGCCAGCATCCCTTCCTTGCTGTAACCATCCATTGTCACCATAATGTACTGTCAATCAGATCATCCCCGATCCCTCCACTTCACAGTTAGTATGTGATGCAGGCTGGGCCAATAATCCCTGAACACAGTGTCTGTAGGCACACAACCCAAGCACAGTGAGTTTGTTTACCCACAGGTCCTTTCCTCACAGGACCCCTGCTCTGCTCTGTGTCACAAAAGAACTTTGTCCTGTAGGCTCCTTCTCAGCTGTTTCCAATTGCCTGCAGCCAATGGAGACGATGGGAGGCTGCAGGGCAGGGGAAGGGAGAGCCAGGGTATTTCTGCCTAAGGCAGGGGTCTCTGGGTAGTGCAATACACTACCTAGGATAATGGAAAGGTTAGAGGTTAGAATTTACCCAGAGACACCTTGAAAGAAAGGCCTGTCATTCTATAGCTGAAAAATCAGCCACTGAAAACCCTATGTATCACAGTTCTACTCTGACATACATAGGGTATTCATGAGTCAGAATTGATTTCATGGCAACTGTTTTGTTTTGCCTAGGGCAGGCTACCTCTTCTTGGCCCCTGCTCCCATCACTGGACTGCCATGAATTCAGCCCCAGTCCTTGACTCTGGAAGTTCTTCCTTCTTACTTTGTCTCTTAAACCTGAGAAAGTTAGAAGCTTTCTCCTGTTGCTAATCTCTGAATTTTGGCAGTGTTCTCTCATTTTGTCTCCTAGCTTTTTAAATATCATATGATGAATTGCCTGTCTTAAATTTCCTCTATTTGAAATACTTAAAATGCTTTCTCTTTTCCTGGTGGACTGGCTAGAATTAAAATCATTCCATTAGATTAGATCTGTGGGCACTAAGAGGAAAAGCACTATTATCCCTTTTGCAATATACAGTCGTAGGATTAGGGAGCCAATGACCAATTTCCAGCCAGCTAAAATCAATTTAGAATAAAGGCAAACACAGACACAAACAGAGCCAAGAAATAAGGACAGAAAAGTAATCTTGATACCTTCTTTGAACTCCTTGCTCTAATTAGACCTAAAGCTGGGATTATCATATATTTTATATTCTAAACCTAAGATTGTTGGGTGGTGTTCATGGTTTGCACTCAACTATTAACGAAAGGTTAGCAGCTCAAACCCATCCAATGGCACAAGGAAGAAAGGGCTGGCAATATGCTTCTGTAAAGATTATAGCCAAGAAAACCCTATGGAGCAGTTCTACTCTAATACACAGGGTTGCCAGGAGTCAGAATCAAGTAAACAGCAATGAATTTGGTGGGTTTCTTTTGTATTACAAACCAGGACTCTTTTGAGAGTCAGAGAGACTCATAGTAATAATTAAGGCAGGGCAACAGGCACAAATAGGTCCAGGCAAACTAGAATATGTAGTCACCCTACCTAATACCAACTTGATTCTTGGACTTTACAATTAAGGTCTTTACAATATTTAATTGTAATTTTTACTTTACAATGAACAGACTACCTAATTTGAATTACATTTCTAATGCTAAACTAAAAGATTCCTTACTAGTGCATAAAATAAAGGCTTAACTCGAAAGAATTATTTCCTAGTGGTAGGAGTTTGGGTATGTAGGAGAACATCATTACCCTCCTGAATTAGGCACCACATTTAGCTTATAGGAACTCACAGATTTTTGGCAGTCACCCTAGGAACATTATATAGAATTTTGTGTGCTATTACCCAAAAGTGCTGACAAAAAAGTACAACTAAAACACAGACACCCCACCCTCAGGCTAAACATGGCTCTTTGGTCATTTTTCCTACACATGAACATTTAAAGTGGCCCTGCAAAAATGACAAGGAGGCCACATATTCTGACCTCCTCTAACCGTGCCAGAGGGAGACAGGATTACCAGGAGTAACCCAAGGCCTATTCCTGCTAGGCCAGACATGCTGCCTCCCTCCAGCCCTTTCACCAACCGTTCCTCCCAAAGCACCCACCACCTCTCTCTTGGGTTCGATAATTCGCTGCAGTGGCCACACAGAACTCACAGATTAAGGGGTTTATTAGGGAAGCACCAGGCTACAACTCAAGTTTAGGAAGAACGCTCAGTCTCTCTCCCAGCCCAACGTCCCTCAGCCAACAGTCTCTCACAGTCTTTTTCCCAGCAGTGCTGGTCCCTCGGTGTCTCACTCAGCAATGCGTGTCTCTCACGTCTCTTTCCCAGCAGCATGTGTCTCTTTCAGGGGCGCATGTCTCTTTCAGCAGCACATCTTCCTCCACCAGCAGTCAGAGAGAGTTCTGCTTCCAGGAGGCCTCCTTTTGAGCCCGGCAGGGTGGTCAAACTAGCCAATCATAGCATCAGAACTCTAAGCACCTGAGAGAAAGTGGGCACCTCCCAGAACATTGTATTGTGCCACACCCAACAGAAATACTCCACATGGATAACATTTACAATCAGCTCCTCAGTTGCTCATTCCACCACTGAGTTTACAATGACTTATGGGTAGAAAAGCCATACTAAGTAATTTACTACACTGCAGGCCCTTTCTTAAGATTTATTTTCATCTGAATGCAAATTTGGGGGCATAGAGTAGGTCAACTACATCTTACAGTTTTCCCTGTGTCTAGTTCCCATGTAGTGGTAACACTATAATACTCCTAAGAACACTGACCTCTGAGAATTGCTTTTCTTCTTTATTCTCTCCTCTTTGCTTTTTTCCTTTCTCCCATACAGTCTCAATCATACTACAGGTTAAATAGGCTTTTGTTCCTAGGCTTGCAACCTGATGTTGTAAACAAACATTTCTATAAAAATGTGTTCTTTAGGGCATGGTGAGAAAGGGATGCCACAGTTCAGTGCAGTAACAACAGCTGCCTAGTCTATGACAGCACAGCCATTCAAAGACTATATTTCTTATGCCCAGTAGGAGTGCTGGTCATCCAGTGGTTGCCATTTTTTTTTATTTAGAAACTACCCATAATTCAAGTATTTGAAATTCCATGAGTACTTACATCTTTTACAATAAGCGATAATTGTCACTACTTTCAATTTTTGGGTTCCAGCATCATTTTATCAATAAAAAAGAGCAAGTATAAGCATTTTATCAATAACTGGGAGGAAATATTCAGAGACTTTACACGAGCCAACTAATCTGTCCATGTCTTACTGCCCATTTCTTATAGATCCAATACCTCTGGTCACAAAATATGCTTTAAAACAGAACAGAAAACATATTCCTTTCCAGAAGTTAAATTACTGTACATTTCTTAATTGGAAATAACAAGCACATACAAATTTAAAACATTTAGAGACCAAAAATATAATACATACAAGCAACTCCTTGCAATGTTCCTCAGGAGTCATTTTTTGTGGAAGGTAAATTTTCATCTTTACTTCATTTTCAGTAAATTGTAAAAGAATTTCTTCCAGATTCTATATTTTATCAAAATTTATAATATAGACTTTATGATTTAAGATGCAAAGGTAATCTTGCATGTTGTGTATAATTCTTCACCTTATTTGGATTAGAATCTACTGAAATAGAGAAACTACCAGATCCATTATCCATGATGATAATAAACAAGTTTTATTTAATTCTTAATCCTGAGCAAACTATATTGAGGGATAGTTTCTGGGAGGAATAGGTAACAAAGGAGGGAGACAGAGAAACCAAAATGCATGCATGTTGTATGTTGAATAAAAAGAAGACTGCAAAAGTTAACAACAGTCTCACTGTCTACATGCTTGAGTTTGCTTGACTACCTTCAGACAATGACAGTTCCTCAGTAGACATAGATGGCTCCAGTAACCTAAAGTTTCCACTTAGGGATGGAAGTGACCTGATCAGACTATACATCCTTAGTCTCAGTGGGGTCACTACAGGCAGTGACTTCACTCTCCCAACAGATGATGACAGTGACTTCAACACTTTGGAAGCTTCACTCTGGAAGATTGGTGTTCTAACAGTATAGAATATAAAAATTTGCAATCCCTGCAGATAGATTGAAAATTTGATATGAATGCTGGGATACAGAATCAAGGAAGACATTTTATTTCACCCTGCAATTGACCCTTCTCACTTTGCACAACAATTCTTCCACTTGATTTTACCAGTCTGCAGCTGCTGCACATGTTTTCATCTAAGAGTGGAAGCAAAGTCCTTCTCATATATATAGTGCTACATATAGTAGTTGTGTAGTCAGAGACATGGTTAGGTTCAGGGCTCCATTTGCCCTTTGCTGCCTGTGTAACTTTGCACACGTTTTCTAATCCCTGTGATCTTCTGTTTCCTGAGGGAAGAAGTTTGGCTATGTGGTCCCTAATTCTTCTTCCAGTTCTAACATTCTATAATTCTATATTTGCTAAAGTTTTAATAACACAGCTAGAAATCTGGTGCATTTAAGAAAAAAAAAAATTTAAAGTCCTTTAATTCATTGCTTTTTGTACTTCATCTGTGAAGACAAGATGCACACGAACAATTAATCCACAAAAGGCTGAGTACTATTTTCAGTAAGTTTTGAAAGCAGAGAAGAGTAGTTACTGAACAAGACCCTTGCTTCTGTTTTCTCATTTAATCCTCATATCAACCCTATAAAATAAGTCTTACTTCCCCATTTTACAGTTGAGAAAACTTAAGCTCAGACAAATTAAATAACTTGCTAAAGATTTCTTGTTGTTAGCTGCCATAGAGTCAGCCGCTAACTCATGGTGACCCCCTGCACAACAGAATTGGACTGTTGTGATTCATATGGTTTTCATTGGCTAGTTTTTTGGAAGAAATCACCAGGATTTTCTTCCTAGTCTATCTTAGTATGGAAGTTCTACTGACACCTATTCACCATCATAGCAATACTCAGTTCTCCACTGACAGACTCTTGGTGGCTGTGCTTGAAGTGCATTGGCCAGCAATCAAACCCAGGTCTCCTGAATGGAAGGTGAGAACTCTACCACTGAACCACCACTGCCAACTACCCAAGATCACCCAACTGATAACTGGTATTGTCTGGAATTGAACCCTCATATAATTGGCTTCAAAGCCCCTTCTCTGTCCAATACACTATGCTACCTCTTGTAACTCTAATGGAAAAAGATAATGTAGTCTCTGATGCCCCTGGCAATTCCACATTAATATACTTGGAGGAAATAACAGGGTAAATAACAGCTGTGATCGAGCTGATAATATCGATAATACCAATGTCAATTTCCTTGTTTTGACAATGTACTATTGTTATGCAAGATATTATCATTGGGGAATACTGAGTAAAGAGTATATTGGAAACCTGTACTATTTTTGCAACTTCTCATATTAAACTATCTCAAAATGAAAGGTTATTTAAAAAAAAAAATCTGTGAAATATCTCCAAGATTGGCACATATAGGAGTCCACGCCTCATAAAGAATAATTTCTAAAATCATATCCTGTGAGTGCTGTTATAGGAGACTATCAATGCTATTGTAAGATAACCCAAGGACTCTGAGAACTTGACTAATAAAATCAACAAATGTTGGTAAGAGATAGACTAGTTTTCCACCCAAAGGCAAAAGAGTAACCTAAGCAGGTGTTACCTGATTTACCTAAATGTTGTTACCTAACACATCTGATAGAAGACCCTGATAACACAACAGAGGGTGGCTGGGGACACGAGTTTTAGAAAGGCAAAAGTAGACATTAGCTATACTGATTGTCCACGGCAGAGATAGTTGGGGGACATGAGAAATATGGTCTATAGAGCCTAAGGCATTTGATTGCTAACCAGAAGGCTGGCAGTACAAACCTACCAGCCATTCCTCAGAAAGAAGACTGGGCTATCTACTTCCATAGAGATACCACCTTAGAAGCCCAAGGAGGGGTTGCTATGAGTCAGAACCGACTTGACGGCAATAAGTTTGGTTTGATTTTTGAGACAAGTAAGAATCTTGGAAAACTTGAAGTTCTCAAAAAAGAAATGGAATACATAAAGATTGATACCCTAGTTATTAATAAGCTGAAATAGACTGGTATTATTGGCCATTTTGAATCAGGCAACCATATGCCTACTACACCAGGAATGACAAATTAAAGAGGAATGGTCTTGCATTCATCATCAAAAAGAACATTTCAAGATCTACCCTGAAGCACAATGCTGTCAGTGATACCATAACATCCATATGCCTAAAAGGAAGACCAGTTAAGGTTACTATTATTCAAATTTACACGCCAACTACTAAAGCCAAAAATAAAGAAATTAAAGATTTTTACCAGCTTCTGCAGTCCAATATTGACCAAACATGCAATCAAGATATATCAATAATTACTATTGATTGGAATGCAAGAGTTTGAAACAAAGAAAAATCATCAGTAGCTGGAAAATATGGCCTTGGTGATAGAAATGGTTACAGAGACTGCATGATAGAATTTTGCAAAACTAATGACTTACTCATTGCAATCACCTTTTATCAACAATATGATGGCAGCTATACATGTGAAAACAAAAGGGAAGAACATACTCAGCATTTCTCAAGGTGAAAGAAATGAAGAAAAATTCAAGCCTCCAGTTGCAATATTGAAAGATTCTATGGGCAAAATATTGAATGACGAAGGAGGCATCAAAAGAAGATGGATGGAATACACAGAGTCATTGTACAAGAAAGAATTGGTCAATTTCAGGAGGTGGAATATGATCAAGAACCAACGGTATTAAAGGAAGAAATCAAAGGTGCACTGAAGGAATTGACAAAGAACAAGGCACCAGGAATTGACGGAATACCCATTGAGATGTCTCAACAAAGGGATACTATGCTGGAAGGACTTACTCGCCTATGCCAAGAAATTTGGAAGACAACTACCTGGCCAACTGACTGGAAGAGATCCATATTTGTACCCATCCCAAACAAAGGTGATCCCACAGAATGTGGAAATTATCAAACAATATCATTAATAGCATACTCAAGTAAAATTTTCCTGAAGATAATTCAAAAATTGTTGCAACAGTATATTGACAGGGAACTTCCAGAGCAAGCTGGATTCAGAAGAGGACATTGAATAGGGGATGTCATTGCTGATGTCAAATGGATCTTGGCTAAATGCAAAAACTACCAGAAAGATGTGTACTTGTGTTTTATTGACTATGCAAAAGCGTTTGACTGTGCAGATAATGACAAATTATGGATAACATTGAGAAGAATGGGAATTCCAGAACACTTAATTGTGCTCATCAGGAACCAGTGCATAGATCAGGAAGCTGTCTTTCAAGCAGAACAAGGAGATATGGCATGGTTTAAAATCAGGAAGGTTGTGCACCAGGGCTGAATCCTTTCACCTACTTATTCAATCTGTATGATAATGAAATAATACAAGAAGATGGACTATATGAAGAAGAATGCAGCATCAAGAACATTAACAATCTGCAGTATGCAAAGGACACAACTTTGCTCACTGAAAGTATAGATGACTTGAAGCATTTACTAATGAAGTCTAAAGACTACAGTCTTCAATGTGGATTACACCTCAACAGAAAGAAAACAAAGATCCTCACCACTGGACTGATAATAAGCAGCATCATGGTAAATGGAGAAAAGATTTAAGTTGACAAAAATTTCATATTACTTGGATCCACAGTCAACACCAATGGAAACAGCTGTCAAGAAATCAGACATCATATTGCACTAGGCAAACCTGCCGCAAAAGTCCTCGTTAAGTGCTGAATAACAAAAACGTCACTTTGATGACTAAGGTACGCCTAACCCAAGCCATTGTATTTTCAGTTGTTGTTGTTGTTATGTGCTGTTGAGTTGAACCTGACTCCTAGCAACCCCTCCTTGGGTTTCTGAGGCAGTATCACTATGGAAGTAGATAGCCCCATCTTCCTTCTGAGGATTTTCAATAGCCTCACATAAATATGAAAGATGGACAATGAATAAGGAAGATTGAAGAAGAGTTGATGCTTTTGAGTCGTGGTGTTGGTGAATGCTAAAGGGACAAGGAGGTGGCATCTTCTGACCTCTTCTAACTACACAAGAGGAAGACAGAATCACCATCAGCAGTCTGTTCTTATGAGGCTAGACATGCTGCCACCCTTCAGCCTTCTTACTAACCTTGATATCAACCATTCCTCCCACGGCACCCACCACATCTCTGCTGGATTCAATAATTTGCTATACTGGCCACACAGAACTCAGATTGTGGGGTTTATCAGGGAAGCTACAGGCTACAATTCAGGTTCAGGAATGTGCTTAGTCCCTCTCAACAGGCCATCTCTCTCAGTCTCTCTCAGTGGCACATCTCTCTCTCAGCAGCATATCTCTTTCAGCAGCATGTCTGTGGTAGCTAAGGTTGTGTGTCAGCTTGCCTGGGCCTGGTTGAGTGGCTAGGCAGCTGCTGGTGGTTATTCCCCATGAGACTAGCAACCAACTCCATGGTGGGATCTACCACAAGCAGCTAAGTAGCTGCTTTAGGGATGCTTCCCATATATAAGCAGCAGCTTTGGGCATGGTCTCTAGCTTATGGCACACTTCAACCCTGCATGTAGCCAAGTCATTCATTGTTCAGCAGCCTGCCATGCTCTGCCAATCTTGGGACTTTCAGTGGACTTGAATCAATGGCCTGCTATGTTGTTTGGTAACATTGGGACTGTGCCTTTTACTTGTCAACCTTGGGTTTGTTAGCCTCTGCAGCCAGCAGCTGCCTGAATGAAGAAAAGTCTCCAGCTTCACTGGGCCAGGAGCAGGAGGCAAGCTGAAACCCAAGGTTGAGGGGCTTTCACCCAGTTCCTAGAGCCTAGCACTTTGAACTCATACTTAAAGCCTCCAAACTGTAAGAGAATAAACTCCTGTTTGGTAAAGCTATCCCTTTTGTGGTATTTTCTGTTAGAGTGTCACTAGGTAACCAAAACAGTGTCTCTCTCAGCTGGCAGTCAGAGAGACTCCTCTCTGCCTCTGTTGTTGTTGTTATGTGCCGTCGAGTCGGCCCCGACTCATAGCGACCCCTCCTTGGGTTTCCGAGGCAGTATCACT